TGTTTGCGGTCAGGCACGCGAGGGCCCCGTCGCGAGGGCCTCCTCCGGCCGCCGCCGCGAGCAGCGGCGGCGAGCCGCCAGTGGCAAAGAGCACCTCGCCTCCTCCCGCGGCGGACGCGCCGTCCGAGGCGCCCGAGGGGGTCACGCTGACGGAGATGGTACGCGCGCTCAAGCGCAAGCTCATCGATGTCGAGGGGCAGCGGCAGGATGTGGCGAGACGCGCCGAGCAGCTCGAGAGCCAGCTCGCGATGGAGAAGAGGGAGGTGTGCGCTCGCACCGGCCCGTGGCCCACTCGCCCGCACACTCCCCGCGCCAACGTGCGCCGCGTTGCCCCGCCGCCGCAGCACCAGCGCACGACAGTCAAGCTCTCGCGTCTGCTCGCAAAGCGGTCAGCGTCCGACGCGGCGCCGGCGCACGAGGCGGAGCTGCAGTCGCTCCGCCGGGCCGTCGCAAATCTGCGCCAGCAGCTCGAGCAGCGAGACTCGCTCGGCGAGCGGCCGCCCGCCAAGCGACCCTCCGACACGGACCAGCACTCCGCGCCCGCGGCGCCGGCTGCGCCGGAGAGCGAGGCGTCGCCGCCGCCGCAGCAGGAACCGACGCCGATGTCGGTGGAGAGCCAGGGCGCGGGCTCCGCGTCGATGGGCAAGCGCAGCCTCTCCGCGGACCTCCCGGAGAATGCCGCGCCGCGCCTGCAGAATGTGAGTGCCGCCGGCGGGGCGGCGGACGCTTCCCCTGCGGCGGACGGCGCGGCAGGCGCGGGCGGCGTGGGCGGCGTGGGCGGCGCGGGCGGCGGCGGGGGCGGCGCGGGCGGCGCCGCGCCGCCGCCGTCGGCCGTGCCCATGGTGCGCTCGGTGAGCATGAGCATGCGCACGCCGCACGGCTACGTCGAGGGCGCGATCTGCATCGAGGCGCCGCGCCGGCAGCGGGTGCGAACCTCGACGGTGCGTGACAACTGCCCCACGCCTCCCCCGCCCTGCTCCGCCCTGCTCCGCCCTGCTCCGCCCTGCTCCTCCCTGCTCCGCGCTCCGCCGGCCTCCGTCGCCCCGCGCCTGCGCTGTGCCGCCCTGCGTCGGCCGACCTCATCGCGCCGCGCCTGCCCTGCGCCTCGCAGGTGATGCCCCGCTCGAACTCCTCGGCGCCGAGGTCGGGCAAACTTCCGGGCGTGCCGCTGCACAAGAGCCCGACTGCGCCCGCCACCCTCGAGGACGTCGGCACGCAGGCGTGATGGCGGATGCGGACGTGTGCGCAGTGCGAACCCTTTATTCCACAGCGCGTCGCGAGCAGTACAGGTTCGTACATTAGGGGATCTAGAGGGTGGCGTCAGTGTTCAGGCAGGCAGGGGCCCCAGCGTCGTGGTCACCTTAGCCGATGACGACGCGTCGGACAGTCCGCCACGATACACAGAGGGACACGGTGTAGTGCCTGTGTGAATAGTTGTAAATGCCAACTACCCCGATCAGAGAATTTCTCCATTATCGACTGAAGTTTCTCGGATCTCCATAGATTCTCGGCGATCTCGGTTCTCTCGCGCGACTGAAATTTCAAATATCTAGATGTATCAAAAACGATATACGATAATCGTTACTTTTGGTCAAGTCTCAAGAGACGCGCGAGAGCGCGAGACACAATCGCAGTGCGTAGAGTCAAAAACATGCCGTCGCGCTGGCCGCTCTGGCTCTGCGCTCTGGCGTCTGGGGCTCTGGCTGCGTGCCGCAACGGTCTCAGATATGTCGATGTGAAGCAGCGCCCCGTCCCTCACTTCTTCGCGCCTGCGACGCCCGCCCTGTGCGTGTGCCAGAGGTAGACCGTCCGCTGCAGCGCCTCGTGCAGCGTGTACAGCGGCTCGTACCCGAGGCGCTCCTTCGCCTTCGCCGACGAGAAGGCGTACGTGAGCGAGGCGACCGCAAACATCGCCGGCGTGAGGAGCGCGAGATCGCCCGTGACGCGGCCGCGCGTGGCGCGCTGCACAAGCTCCACCGCGTACCCCAGCGCCATCATCAGCCTGCGAGGCAGGTACGTCTGCTTGAAGGCGCCGCCCGTCTGCCGCTCGTAGTAGTGCCCGACCGCGTCGTGGAAATCGGCCGCCCGCAGCGGCTCGCCGTTGGTGATGCAGAACGCCTCGCCGCCGACGCGCCGCTGCGGCGGCGGCTTGGCGCGCTCGGCGTGCAGGGCCGCCTCGGCGAGCAGGTGGGCGTAGGCGACGTTCTCGTTGTAGACGTAGTCGATCAGAGGCTCCGGCAGCATGATCTGCACCTGTGACACGAGATCTGGGGAGATATGGGGAGATATGGGGAGATATGGGGAGAGATGGGGATGATCTGCACCTGGCCCAGCTCGAGCCACTTCTCCGTCATGAAGTTGTCCTGCAGCCCGAAGATCCCAGAGCACGGCCGCACGGCGACAGTCTGAAGCGCGCCGCGCGCCGCGGGCTCGAGAGGCGCCCCGTTGGCGGCGAGCACCATCGTCTCCGCCTGCGCCTTGGTCCAGCCGTAGTGGTTTGGCGAGTTCTGCGGGCCCACCAGCTCCGAACTCTCGTCCATCGAGGTGCTCACGAGCGCGGGCGCAACGCAGACGTTCGATGTCGACGTCTGCACCAGCACCTGCACGCCGCACTCGGCGCAGGCGCGAAGCACGTTCCCCGTCCCGGTGACGTTCACGGCGTGACTCGCGGCGTACTGGTACTGGAGCCGCTCGTAGTAGCGGATGAGCGCGACCGTCAGGTAGACGACGTCGACGCCTTCGCAAGCCGCCTTGATCGACGAGTAGTCAGTCACGTTGCCGACAGCGAACGTCGCGCCCTCCACCCCGCGGCGCGGTGCGACGACGTCGAGGCCCTTGACCTTCTTCTCGCCGCGCTCAACCAGGGCCTCCATGATTATGAGTCCCACGCTGCCCGTGCCGATGACCAGGTATGACTTGCCTGTGGCGGGCGCCTTCTCCTTCACGGTGGCGTGCAGGCCGGGCCTCGCGCGCCAGTCCACCCCGGGTGGCGGCTGTTTCGCCGGCTGACGCGGTGACGGCTTGAGCAGCCAGTAGCAAACGGCGGCCAGCGGCAGGAGGCGGCCGGCAGCGAGAAGCATCGCGATCGTCTCAGGCTCGAGAGGTGGCATGTCGGGAAGGGTCGGCGGGAGCCGCAGAGGGTCTACCGGGTACCCCGAATTGACCCTATTCTGACTGGGTTGTAACAAAGTTTGAAACACGCGAGGCGCAGCCAGTTGTTGAATCATTGGTTGAAGCATCGAGTCAGTTAAATTGAATCGTTGAAGCTCTTGCTTGATTGATTTCGCAGCTCGCCGTGGAGCGCAACTGGTGGAGCTTCAGCGTCAACCCGACGCCCATGGGCAAGCAGTTCATTGTCCAGCCCCAGTCCCAGTGGGAGAGGGACAGGGAGCGGCAGCAGGCCAAGGAGGGCAGTGCCCCACCGCAGCCGGTCTCGGGCACCGTACCCATACTACTCAAAAGTATAATATACTACCACAAAGCACCACTAGCGATTTCGCGCGGAGGGCGTAGTGAAGCGCTGGGGCGCTCACTGTGTGTTATTCGGGTGGGGATCCATCAGTGGTAACCGGCTTTAGTCACAGATCCAAGCTCAGACGCCACACCAACACCACAAACACGCTCACTTCGCCGCTGCTGTAGATGCCAAATCACCGCGGCCGTCTGTGCCTGCTTCCGAGTATGACTCCGAGTTCGACTTTTCCGACGCTGAGGCGCAGGATAGGACGGCAGGGGTCGTACACGACGCAGTTCAGCAGGCTGTGATGCAATACGGCTATGACGACGAGCTCTTCCAGGCGTGGAGGGACGGCGAGATACGGCGAAAGGACTTGCCGGAGGAGGTGGTGGCTATGGCTTTGGACCTTTGCGAGAGGTGGCGAGCGGAGCAAGAGCGGTGTAGGCGCGTCCACGCGGCGCAGCGGCTCTCCCGCGACCCCGGCCCCTCTCATAGCCGCAGCCGTAGCCGCAGCCCCAACTCTTGCCGCTCTTCCGTGTCGGGTTGTGACGAGGGGTGAGGGGACACGGATTGAAGATCCCTCACACCAAGATCGTGCAGGGCGGGGATACATGTCCCTAAATCCCATCTCGTCTCAGAGTTTGACCGTTTTTATTTATTTATTTATTTGATTGATTTCCTGGCAGCTGGCTGGAAAGGTGGGAGGGGAGTGAGCGCGGCAGGCGGGGCACATCACTGACATGCCTTCGCGACGCCAGCCGGCATTTCGCCAGGTGTGCACTCTGCTATAGCTAGTACTGTGTGTGTGTGTGCTCACACCTAACTGTAGGGGGTGCCGAGCCATGAAAGAAAGAAAGAAAACAGAAACAAGGGAGGGAGGTGGTGAGGCCGACAAGCCGCCACCACACACAGGGATTTTAAGGAGAGGAGTGTGGTGCTAGCCGTCACCCACCCTCGGGCGTTGACCTCTTCCTATCTCTCCTCGCACAGTTTCTCGCCAATTCTCGCAGCGACCTTCATGCCGCCTCACGCACACACACGCTAGAGAGAGAATAAAAATCTCTCTCTCACACGCCTCTTTTGAGCGGCATGGAGGCTGCGCGCTGCTAGCGCGTCGGCGGGGGTGGCGCTGCCATATGCAAGCGCACTTGAGGCCGTCTGACGGTCCTGGTCGCTTCAGCAACGCCACTACACCCCACGAGTGTCGCTCGTCTGGAAAGCGAGGGCCTCGTCTCCAGCCCGGCTGCGGCCGGGCACCTGGCGTCCACCACGGGCGTGCACAGAGGGTGCAGCGGTGGAAGATCCCAACTCATGTCATCTACTCGCAGAACGCACGTGGGCTCAAGACCGACAGCGCTCTCACCGAGGCTATCGACGCTCTCCGACACCGCTCAGGCTTCTCTGCCGGGCTGCAGGAGACGTGGAGAACGGGCCTGGAGGAGATTGAGGAGGACGGCTTCGTCTTCCTCGGCGCTGCACCCGCTGTACAGAACGGACGCGGCTCAAAAGGAGTCGGCATCCTGCTCTCGCCACTGGCTGTCGCTGCGTGGCGAGCAGCTGGAGCCGTTGTGCACAACGACGTAGGCCCGCGGGTTATCGCAGTGCGTATGGAGGTTGAAGATTCGGCTGGCAGGAAGCAGGGACTGTTTCAAGTGGCGTCGTATGCGCCTATCTCGACAGCCCCGGACACCGAAAAGGACGAATATGAGACCGCTCTCGCCTGTGTGCTCTCGCGACGGCAGTCCGGCGACATTGTGATTGTTTGTGCTGACACTAACGCGAGCATCGGACGCGGCTGCCTTGGCGGCCAAAATGTCAACTACGGTGCGGTCGGTTCTCATGGTATCGACTTTCTCAATGACTCTGGGCGCCGCCTGCGCTCGTTTATGGAGCTGCACGACCTTGCTGCACTGTCCTCGTTCTTCAAGAAGCCGTTTTACGGGACGTGGCTGCACCCGTGCAGTAAGCTGCAGAAGCAGCTGGATCACATCATGATCTCTCGATGCGACTTGAAGAGATTCACAGACGCCGGGGCATGCTGTGGACAGTTGATCGACAGCGACCACAGTGCTGTCTTCTGCAAGCTGCGCTTCACAGTGCGGCTTCGACGCAAACTGGAGCCGCGTGCTCAGCTCGCTCGACTCGACACCGCACCGTTGCTGAACCAGGACCAGGCGGTCCAGTTCGCTACGGATGTGGTGACGAGCCTCGGCACATCCGACGCCTCGGCCGTATCGTACTCAACACTGGCCAAGGCGGTGGAAAAGACCGCTGCCGAGACGCTCCCCAAGCGTGAGCGGCCTGCGCCGCTGTGGTTTGCGGCGAAGGAGGGCGTTTTGCGTGCCGCCATCGCGAACCGCAACGCCACCTTCAACGCTCATCAGCGGCAACCGACGGCGGACGCTGCCGCTCGATATCGACAGGCGCGCTCACGCGTGCAGCTCGAAATCAGGCGTGCCAAGTCGGATTGGATCCTCGGCAAATGCACCGCCATCAACGATGGCATCTGCGGCGCCACGGGATCCGCGGCCGCCTGGGCGACCGGCGCGGGCGGCGCCGCGCCGCCGCCGTCGGCCGTGCCCATGGTGCGCTCGGTGAGCATGAGCATGCGCACGCCGCACGGCTACGTCGAGGGCGCGATCTGCATCGAGGCGCCGCGCCGGCAGCGGGTGCGAACCTCGACGGTGCGTGACAACTGCCCCACGCCTCCCCCGCCCTGCTCCGCCCTGCTCCGCCCTGCTCCGCCCTGCTCCTCCCTGCTCCGCGCTCCGCCGGCCTCCGTCGCCCCGCGCCTGCGCTGTGCCGCCCTGCGTCGGCCGACCTCATCGCGCCGCGCCTGCCCTGCGCCTCGCAGGTGATGCCCCGCTCGAACTCCTCGGCGCCGAGGTCGGGCAAACTTCCGGGCGTGCCGCTGCACAAGAGCCCGACTGCGCCCGCCACCCTCGAGGACGTCGGCACGCAGGCGTGATGGCGGATGCGGACGTGTGCGCAGTGCGAACCCTTTATTCCACAGCGCGTCGCGAGCAGTACAGGTTCGTACATTAGGGGATATAGGGGGTGGCGTCGGTGTTCAGGCAGGCAGGGGCCCCAGCGTCGTGGTCACCTTAGCCGATGACGACGCGTCGGACAGTCCGCCACGATACACAGAGGGACACGGTGTAGTGCCTGTGTGAATAGTTGTAAATGCCAACTACCGATCAGAGAATTTCTCCATTCTCGACTGAAGTTTCTCCATTCTCGCGTCGGCGATCCTCGGTTCTCTCGCGCGACTGAAATTTCAAATATCTAGATGTATCAAAAACGATATACGATAATCGTTACTTTTGGTCAAGTCTCAAGAGACGCGCGAGAGCGCGAGACACAATCGCAGTGCGTAGAGTCAAAAACATGCCGTCGCGCTGGCCGCTCTGGCTCTGCGCTCTGGCGTCTCGGGCTCTGGCTGCGTGCCGCAACGGTCTCAGATATGTCGATGTGAAGCAGCGCCCCGTCCCTCACTTCTTCGCGCCTGCGACGCCCGCCCTGTGCGTGTGCCAGAGGTAGACCGTCCGCTGCAGCGCCTCGTGCAGCGTGTACAGCGGCTCGTACCCGAGGCGCTCCTTCGCCTTCGCCGACGAGAAGGCGTACGTGAGCGAGGCGACCGCAAACATCGCCGGCGTGAGGAGCGCGAGATCGCCCGTGACGCGGCCGCGCGTGGCGCGCTGCACAAGCTCCACCGCGTACCCCAGCGCCATCATCAGCCTGCGAGGCAGGTACGTCTGCTTGAAGGCGCCGCCCGTCTGCCGCTCGTAGTAGTGCCCGACCGCGTCGTGGAAATCGGCCGCCCGAAGCGGCTCGCCGTTGGTGATGCAGAACGCCTCGCCGCCGACGCGCCGCTGCGGCGGCGGCTTGGCGCGCTCGGCGTGCAGGGCCGCCTCGGCGAGCAGGTGGGCGTAGGCGACGTTCTCGTTGTAGACGTAGTCGATCAGAGGCTCCGGCAGCATGATCTGCACCTGTGACACGAGATCTGGGGAGATATGGGGAGATATGGGGAGATATGGGGAGAGATGGGGATGATCTGCACCTGGCCCAGCTCGAGCCACTTCTCCGTCATGAAGTTGTCCTGCAGCCCGAAGATCCCAGAGCACGGCCGCACGGCGACGGTCTGAAGCGCGCCGCGCGCCGCGGGCTCGAGAGGCGCCCCGTTGGCGGCGAGCACCATCGTCTCCGCCTGCGCCTTGGTCCAGCCGTAGTGGTTTGGCGAGTTCTGCGGGCCCACCAGCTCCGAACTCTCGTCCATCGAGGTGCTCACGAGCGCGGGCGCAACGCAGACGTTCGATGTCGACGTCTGCACCAGCACCTGCACGCCGCACTCGGCGCAGGCGCGAAGCACGTTCCCCGTCCCGGTGACGTTCACGGCGTGACTCGCGGCGTACTGGTACTGGAGCCGCTCGTAGTAGCGGATGAGCGCGACCGTCAGGTAGACGACGTCGACGCCTTCGCAAGCCGCCTTGATCGACGAGTAGTCAGTCACGTTGCCGACAGCGAACGTCGCGCCCTCCACCCCGCGGCGCGGTGCGACGACGTCGAGGCCCTTGACCTTCTTCTCGCCGCGCTCAACCAGGGCCTCCATGATTATGAGTCCCACGCTGCCCGTGCCGATGACCAGGTATGACTTGCCTGTGGCGGGCGCCTTCTCCTTCACGGTGGCGTGCAGGCCGGGCCTCGCGCGCCAGTCCACCCCGGGTGGCGGCTGTTTCGCCGGCTGACGCGGTGACGGCTTGAGCAGCCAGTAGCAAACGGCGGCCAGCGGCAGGAGGCGGCCGGCAGCGAGAAGCATCGCGATCGTCTCAGGCTCGAGAGGTGGCATGTCGGGAAGGGTCGGCGGGAGCCGCAGAGGGCTCTAGTACTTACTCGTGGGCGGGACGACCGCAGCCAAAGAGAGAAGAATTTTACGAAGAAACTCCCTCGCACAACACTAGATTCCAAAATCCTGCTCGTGGGGACCCTGTCCTCGTCCCATCCCTCGTTTGGCGTGTCTGTTTTCTTTCTTTCTTTACACTAGAGAGAAGAATGAAGAATTCTTAGGGCTGAGGAGACGCCGTCGGCGGCCTGCCGCCGCTCTCTGCCCTCTCGGCGGGTGAACAAAAACCAAATTGGCCCATTTTTTCTTTTCGTCGGCACTTTCCGGGAAAGGCGTTATCGCGCTGGGTCTCCAAGCGATGATCGGAGGCTCTCTCCGGCACGCCGCTCGCCGTCTGCGCGCTCCTGCGCTGGCCGTTGCCGGCTGCGCCGCTGGGACCAGCCTCTACCTCCGTGGCGCCGACGAGGAGTTTCGGCACGTGAGCGAGTCAGAGCTGCCGACCACGTACGACCCTGAGGCGTTTGCTGCCGTGTGGAGCGCGCACCCTCGCTGCTGCCTGGCGCGGCTGCGAGAGATCGTCGCTCGCGTCGCGCCGCTCGCTGCGGTGGTGCTTCGCGACTCGCTGCGCGGCGGAGTTCCGGGCGAGTCCGAGGCGGAGCGGGACGCTCGGTACGCGCTGCGAGCTCGCGAGCTGCGTGGCTGCCTGACCGACCTCGGACCAACCTTCATCAAGGCCGGCCAGGCGCTCTCCATCCGGCCGGACGTGCTGCCGCCTCCGGCCGTCTACGAGCTGCAAAAGCTCTGCGACGCGGTGCGTGCACATCCCCGATGCGACGGCAGCGCTGACCGTGCTCACCACACCCTCTCACGTCCGTGTGCGAACAGGTGCCCTCTTACCCGACGGCGGCGGCGCTCGCTCTCATCGAGGCGGAGCTGGGCGCTCCTGCGTCGAGCCTCTTCGAGCTCGACGCGTCGTCGGAGCCCATCGCAGCGGCCTCGCTCGGGCAGGTATACCGCTGCAGGCTGCGCGAGGGCGGCGCGGAGGTGGCGCTGAAGGTGCAGCGGCCCGACATGATCCGCGCCGTCTCGCTCGACCTCTACCTGCTGCGCCGGTACTGCCTCTTTGTGGAGTGGTTCAAGGTGCGAGTCCTGACCAACTTGCTCGGCGCCGCCGAACGCACGCCGTTTGACGTGGCGCTGCTCGACACATTCGCACGCGCCTCGTACCTCGAGCTTGACTATCGGCACGAGGCGGCCAACTTGGAGCGGTTTCGGACGGAGCTGCTCCCGCGGCTCGGCAGCAGTGTCTACGTGCCACGCAGCTACCCTGCCGTCACCACGCGCAAGGTCGAGATCGAGCCGAGATAGAGCCGAGAGGTGGCCAGTTTCCACACCCTCCGCTGCGCTCTCTCGCCGCTGCGGCCGATTGCGGCGCTCGTCCACTTCGCGAGCGCCACCTGAGTGGCCGCCAGCGAGTCGCGCTTCGAGCCGGCAGGGGGGGGGGGGGGGGGTAGGGTGTCATCACCGGGGCTGGGGGTAAGGGGGGAGGGGTGCGGGGTACCCCTGTGATGCCACCCTACCCTACCCCCCTGCCGGCTCGAGCACAGGTGCTCGCCACCGAGTGGATCGAGATACGGGGAGATATGGGGAGATATGGGGAGATATGGGGAGATAGGTGCTCGCCACCGAGTGGATCGAGGGCGAGCAGCTGGCCAGGTCGCCGCCGGAGGTCATCAACCGGCTCATCGCGACGGGCGTGGACTGCTTCATCTCTCAGCTGCTAGATGTCGGATTCTTCCACTCCGATCCGCACCCCGGCGACCCACCCCCTACCCCCACGGTACCCTGCGCCCATCCACGTCGGATTCTTCCACTCCGATCCGCACCCCGGCGACCCACCCCCTACCCCCACGGTACCCTGAGCCCATCCACGTCGGATTCTTCCACTCCGACCCGCACCCCGGCGACCCACCCCCTACCCCCACGGTACCCTGAGCCCATCCCGTACCCCGACGGTAGCGGCCAGCTCCCTAGGCAACCTGCTGGTCGACGCGCGCGGGCGGCTGGTGCTCATCGACGCTGGGCCTGATACATCAATGAATCCGTCAAACCAATCAGGCAGATTGATGGATGAATGTAGGTGCTCATCGACTTTGGGCTTTGCGCTGAGATCGCCGCCTTCGACACGCGGCATCGGACTCTTAGTTGCTGCACGCCCAGACCAGCACGGCATCCAGACTAGCACTCGAGAGGGGGCACTGGGCCTTGCACTTGAAGCGCTGTCCGGCTCCAGTCGAGGGCCAGCCAGCGCCCTCGTACCAACAACGCCTCTGGCGTCGGACTTCGGCGATCCCCAACACACGCGAGCGCTAGTGAACTCCCAGGGAACCGATATGCCTTGCAGTATTTCTGTACAATACTCAGGTCCCGCTGGCAAGAGCAAACAAGCTGAGCTTACCCAGAGAACTCCAGTCTCACCCAAAATTAGCTGCCAATTAGGCACCTGACCTCCGCGATCGTCAACCTGATGCGCGGCGATGTCGAGGGACTCGTCAACGACGCGAGCACGCTGCGTTCCCTCGGCTCTGTGAGTGTGGATTGCGTCCCTTCACCCCCCTCCAGCCGCGCACAGGCGATCACGCTGCGCTTCTTACCGCCGGACGTGGACAGGGAGGCGCTGCTGCCGCCGCTGCGGCGCGTGTTTGAGCAGGGGCGCCTCGCCGCGGCCACCCAGGCGAGCGAGAGTCTCGGCGGCGGCGGGCGGCGGCGCGGCGGCGGGCGGGCGGCGCAGTACAGTGCGGTGGCGTCGAAGCGGCGCCAGTTCGCTGCGATCTCGCGCGATCTGAACCAAATCTTTTTCGACTTCCCGTTTGCGGTGCCCGAGTACTTTGCCCTCATCACGCGCGCGCTCATCGTGCTCGAAGGTAGGCCTCGCCTCATTTCGGCGCATCTCGTCGCATCTCGTCGCATCTCGGCGCATCTCGTCGCATCTCGTCGCATCTCGGCGCATCTCGTCGCATCTCGTCGCATCTCGGCGCATCTCGGCGCATCTCGGCGCATCTCGGCGCATCTCGGCGCATCTCGGCAAGTCTCACGGTTCGTCACGGCTCATCTCGGCGCATCTCGGCCCATCTCGTTTCATCTCGGCTCAGCTCATCTCGGCTCAGCTCGGCTCATCTCGGCGCATCTCGGCTCCTCGGCTCAGTTCGGCTACATCTGGGCTAGCTCGGCTCATCTCGGCTACATCTCGGCTCATCTCGGCTCATCTGGCTCCGTGCTCGAAGGCATCGCCCTGACCGGCGACAAGGACTTCGACCTCTTTCAGGCGGCGTACCCCCTCGCGGCGCAGCACGCGGCGCGCCTATTCGGCGCGAAGCAGCTCGCCAGCATGCTCGGCGAGGCGAAGGCTGCCGAGCGCAGCTGGCGCGCCCTGCTGCGGCGCGAGTCTCGGCAACCGCGCGGCCAGCTGCCGTCGGTGGAGGTGTTGTGACGTTAGTGCTGCCCTCTTGTGAGTGTGAGCTTGCTTCTTGTATGCCTGAAGTGCGATGCAAAAGAGAACGTACGTGGTGAGAGACGACACAGCACACACACGTACACGTGTCGAGACGGTTACTTAACGAACCAACGGCCCGCTTACGGCTTTATCTACACGTGTACACGTGCAAGCCCCACCCGACTCACGGGCAGGCGTGGGGCGCGTCGCCCGCTTGCTGTTGCTCTAGGTGAAACGTCTTAGGAAACGACACGAGAGGGTCGGCCCGACGGCGGGCGGAGAAGACGGGCACTGGACCAGAAAGGACTGGGAGAGAGTGTGAGTGGAGGGAGGGACACGCGGTGGTTCGGACGTCCCCCCCCTCGACGCAGTCGAGTAACTCCCGATCGACGAGAGGAAAGTGTCCCTCAGAGTAGAGAGTGTGTGGCTGCTCTACTAAGCCACGAATGAAGTAGTGGGGGGGGACAGCGTTGCAGGAGCCGTCGGCGGTGCTGTCGATGCAGGCGACGGTGGAGAAGCTGGCAGCGCTGATGCCACCGATGAAGGTGACGACGAAAGAGCCGACGACGCTGTAGAGGCTACAGGCGAGGTCGTCGACACGAGCCTCGGCAGAGAGACCGATGGTGCTATCGGAGCCACCGTCCAGTGGAGCGGCGGCAGAGAGGCCGAGGCCGACGGTGCTATCGGCGCCACCGTTGAGTGGAGCGGCGGCAGAGAGGCCGATGGCGTCATCGGCGCCGTAGTGGAGTCGAGCGGCGGCAGCAACGGAGTCGTCAGCGCTGGCCAACGAAAGGAGCAACGGCAAGAGCGACGGCACTGTCATCGGCGAGGCCGTCGAGTCGAGCGACGGCGACAGAGCCGTCGGCAACTCGAGCGACGGCGAGAGAGCCGACAGCGGAGCTATCGGCGAAGCAGCCGACAGCGAGGCCGTCGGCGAGGCCGTCGAGTCGAGCGACGGCGACAGAGCCGTCGGCAACTCGAGCGACGGCGAGAGAGCCGACAGCGGAGCTATCGGCGAAGCAGCCAACAGCGAGGCCGTCGGCGAGGCCGTCGAGTCGAGCGATGGCGACAGAGCCATCGGCAACTCGAGCGACGGCGAGAGAGCCGACAGCGGAGCTATCGGCGAAGCAGCCAACAGCGAGGCCGTCGGCGAGGCCGGCCGCCGACCGGCCTTCGCAAGGGAGGCGTGGAGTTCGTGCATCATCCGCCTCCTGTGCAATAGCGCGTCACTGGAACCATGCATGCACGCATCGTGCTCGTGCCTTGGACCCAACGCAGTGTCTTCAGCCCCTCCTGGCTCCTGGCCGCGCAGGAGCCCGTACCTCCGCAGTGTGGGCGTGTGAAAATTAGTTCTGATGTGTCAACGGCTGTACTATCAGTACTATAAAATGGCCAACGGCGAGCTTGCCTGTAGCACGGGCTGCGGGCTGCGCCGTACCGTATGAACCTACGGGCTTGTGGTTAGTTAACATTTACGACTTGCCCGTGCTCAAGCTCAAGCAAGGCCGTTGGCAAGGGGCTTTCAAGTAGCCAAAATACACACATACTCTGCAGTAGTAGTGTACTGTGTACACCAGCGCCAGACGCAAACAACAGCTCCTTTCACGTAGAATTCGCTAGCGGCCGACGGCCGTCAACGACGACCACCCACATTGCAATGAGACCGCAGCCGCCCGTGTCATCATGCTGTCACGGCGGGCTCGTCATGGACATCACGGCAGCTACGGCCACCAACGCATGCATGGACAACTGATGCAGGAGCGACGCGCCCACTTCCTGCAGCCGGTCTCGCTCCGGGTGTCGGAGCAATGCAGTCCGCAACCGGCCTGGCTCTCCGTCTGAGTCTGAGAGACGAAACACAGAGTGTGTTGCTGGGCCACCGGGCACGTCGCAAAGCAAATGCAGCGCCTCGATGCATGCCTCAGTAAGAGCACCCTCTGCCTCGGTGCACACATCGAGTGCGTCGACCAAAGCCTGCGCAGTCTCGGCCTCCACCATCGCGTCGCGAGCGGAAAAGTGGGCCGCCAAGAAGCACAGGCAATGGCAGCAGTGCTCGAGCAGGCTCGTCGACGACAGTTGCTTGTGCATGACGCTGACAATCGCGCCCACGACTCCGGCGCCCACGAGGCGGCGCCGGGAGGCGGTTGTGTCGCTTGATCCTTCATGAATCGAGATGCAGGCTCGCATGATTGTATCGATTCCCTCCTTGGCTATGTGCGGATGATCCGGGTACCTCATGAGCGAAGCCAAGACAGCCTCGATGCAGCCACCATCCTTCGCAGCGAGGGCAGGCTCCTCTACACCGTTGGCAAAAAGGTGGAAGAGGTATCGCACGAGAGTCACGCCGCCCAATTGCATGTTCGCGTCTTCAATGTTCTCACGCAAGGCGCGGGCGACCTCCACCGCGCCACCAGAAGCGACAAACGCCCGTGCAGCATTCGGCGCTGAGAGTCCCGAGCCGCAAAAAAGAACCAGGGTCGTGCATGAGAGCATGGCGATCTGGGGAGTTGATGCATGAGCCCGAAGTGCGCCGAGCACCGCCTCAACGCCACCCGCTGCAACCACCGTCGCGATCCTATCGATGGGGTAAGAGGCGTGCGCTGCTGCGTCGATGTTGAAAACGCTCTGTGGCTCGATTGGCTGGGCGAGATAGCGGTGAAGCAGCGCCAACACCATGCCCACGAACTTTTCCTCGGCGTCGTGATGCTCGCGAAGGACGTTCACGAGAGCAGGAGCGTCGTATCTCGCCAACGTCTGCACAGACGGCAGCCCCGGTGCAAATGCCATACGGATGCGGTCGGGCGCGTCGGCAATCACGTGAAAGGGCCTGCGACGCTGCTCCATCTGCACGCAGTACGCAGCACACCGCCCCCGTTCGAGTAGCATGAGCCCAAGTGCTGTGTACACGGGCCGCTCTGATGCCTCTGCACACCGAACGGCCGTGATCTGCCCTCGCTTCCATCCGGTCACTGTAGTCGAGTTGACACCCGACACACACTCGATCCAGTCCCCCACCGAAAACCGCAGCGGCGGCGAAGACTCATCGCCTATCTTGAGTGGTGCGTAGCCGCCACCCTGCATCCACGAGCGCTCGTCCAGCATGACTGGGCAGCCAATCACCGTGCTGCGGTCATAGACGCGCTTGATTCGCTTGACCCGTCCCGTCTTCACGCCCTCACGCGAGGCGCGCCACTCCTGGCTCAAAAGTCGGACGACACAGAGCGGCCTCAGCTTCGCTGCGACTTCTGCCAGAGGGCGGGCGAGCGTCGCTTCGGTCATGTGCACGCCATCCGACAGGGTAAGCCGAGTGCCAACCTCGCACGACACAAAGCTGAGGAGCTGGACGTTTGGCTGACCTCCGCAGTGGTAGAACATGGCCCGCACCGAGCCGCTCGAGAGCTCCCCATCGTCCCGCCGCCGGGCCATGGCTTTGACGAACGACTCCATAATGTATGTCAAGAGCGAAGGTATGGGCGACCGCGGCGGCGATCGCGGCGGCTCTTATGACCGACGGCACCCTCGGCGCGCGTCCGCGAGCTTGTCGGCTACTCTGATGTATAGGCCGACCGTCTCTACCCGACTACACTTCCACGTCTCGCTCACGCTGAGAAAAATTCTGAGACAAGCGAGCGCTAGTGAACGCGCTGGAGAGAGAGAGAGAGAGAGAGAGAGAGAGAGAGAGACGCCCAGGGAACCGATATATTGCCTTACAGTATTTTTATACAATACTCAGGTCCCGCTAGCAAGTCATGAACAGGGTAAGGGAGGGAGGGAGAGCAAACAACTGGGAAGTTCACAGCTGAGCTTACCCAGAGAACTCCGTTCTCACCCACAAGCGAGCGCTAGTGAACGCCCAGGGAACCGATATGCCATCCCCAACCGCCCGAGCGCCCGAGGTGGGCGCTCGGAGGCCGGAGGCATGAGAAGGCCGACATGCGCGCGGGGCGCACGAGCGGCGGAGCGAGAGCGGGCTCGCGTATGGAGTGGTGTGTGTGTGTGTGTGTGTGTGTGTGTGTGTCGCGCCTTGCGGGGGGGGAGCGGAAAGGAGGAACCTCTTCCCAAGAGCACCACTCTTGGAGCGCCGCCACTACCACCCAGAGCGCTGCAAGCAGCGCCGGGCAATGACGGCTTACCGCCCATCCAGAGGCCGACCGTCTCCTACCCGACGGTGGCACTCTTCCACGTCTCGCTCACGCTGAGAAAAATTCTGAAATGCCGTGCAGCAGAGTCACCGACGATGAGTCGGTCCGCGTGCCTCCTAGTGCGGTCCCGTACCTCTCACACATCCATGAACTCACTTTGGCCTCACTGAAGGTGATAAGGTAAGGTAAGGTACAAGGTAAACGTCTCCATGAAGGTGATGGGTGAAGAGCGCGATGCCCCAATCCTGAATCCTCAGGTTTTAGATTTTAGGACGCTGTCCACCCCCTACTCCTGACAGCAGACTACTCCTCACAGCACACTCGCTGCTGGCACGACAAGTGTTGTGCTCCCACCCCACCCGCTCGTCGCGGTGTGTAAACCGCAACGCGGCCGAGGCGCTCGCGGCGCCGGCGGCTCTCAGTTTAGACGCCGATTCCGGCGGCACGGTCGGGCCCGAGCGGCGGGGTGGCGGGGGCAGGGCGGTCGTAGACGCATCGGAAACCGACAGTGCCGGCGCGCTCGTACGACTCGCCAAAAAGGAAGTACTTGTTGTGCGTGGTGCACGGAGGGCCGCTGCCTGGCCCGCCGCGGTTCGGAAAGTACCAGTGCGACCTATTCACGAGGGGAGCCGTGAAGAGACGCCGTTCACACTCTTGGGGGGGAAGGAGGTTTGCGACCCGTCCGGCCGGTAGTTTGAGCCGCCGCGCAGCAGCACCGAGCGCGTGTGCTCGTCGGCGATCTCGTCGGTGTACTGCCTACGCGGGGGAATAGACGCCAACCTCAGGGGCGGGAAGGCGGCATTGAGCAGTGTATCGGAGGCACCGCGTGAACACGAGGGAGGCGAAGCAGTGAGTACAGCTGAATACGGCTGAATGCGCGTCCTCTCGAGCGCTGGCTGGGAGACGAGAATACGTGCTCCGCTTCTAGGGTGTGCCTCTTTTGGTACTGTGGCGTACCTGTGTCGAACCTGTGTGCTGTGAGAGAGACTTGTGTTGGTTGGATTCTAGGGCGTGCTGCCACACGTTGCCCGCAAGGTCGGAGACGCCGAAGGGCGAGTCTCCCGCCGGGGAGTGCGCCGTCACCTGTTCACACCGTCGCGCTGTGAAGAGACCCTCGACCACCGGCGGCCTCTCCCGCAAGGGTTGAGGGGTCAGGGGTGGGGGATAGGGGGCGGGGGCGGGGTCGGAGGCGGGGTTTTCGGTGGGGTGGGGTTAGGGCGGGGGCGGGGTGGG